CATAAGATGTTTGCGAATAATAGTAATAATAATAATGAATACTGAAACTCCATACGAAATGTGATAACCCTCTGATGTTTTCTTGATCCCTGGTGAGTCTCACATTTGCAAATGAGTTTGATTTATTTTCTGAAATATAATGATTCAGTGACTTATAAATCTAACCAGAGAAGTTGGAATTAACAGCTCAGTATGGGTTATTATAACTTGAAGTATATATCCAACCCTAAATAAAACTAACGTCTTCACAATCAATTTCTAACATGATGGTAGAACAACATGTTGAAAATCAGCTGAAATAGCAATAAAGAATGCAAAAACATAAAACCTTATAATGACATCGTTGCTTGCTGGGTAGTTTCTGTGGCCATGGCCACAATCCTGCTTTGATGACGGTATATGCTTCATTTTCGTTACTTCACACAAAATTTGGACAACAGTATAATTTTAGTTCATGACTCGCTGAAAATCAACGCATTCTTAAGACTCAACTGCAAAAACTGTTCCACAGAACATGAATAATGAATTTTCATACGGCTATTCTGATCTATGTGGAAAGCTATAATCTTTTAGCGGGGAGAGAGCAAAGCTGGTTCACAGCATACTGAACACAAATTTCAGTATCATATTTCTTACCTTTTGCTACCTTTTACAACTAGCCATCTGAGTAGACATTCTAAGGAATTCAGAAGGCCGAGACCAACGTATATACGTCTGAAGTTCCATATTTTGAAATCAGAAAGTGAATTACTGTAATTCTCTGTCAGAAGGCGTAACATCAGCAACTTTTGTCGACACACAACAAGCTTTGGTCTTCACAGTACTGCAAGTTGCAGGGACCAATATAGTGGACTGAACTCCTGTCCTTACTACTGCAGACTGGCTACATTTAATTGAACCATTACTGTTACGTATATCACTCATTTAACAACATCCTGTTTTAAGATGGTTGTGGACGGAATAGAAGAAGCTTTCGCTTAACAGGCTCCCGTGTCTAGTAGCAGATCATCAAATCCTCCAGGCAGGAACCTAGGTATGTTAACAATAAAAGAGGAAAAATAAATTGGTAAATCATAGTGTGATACTATCCTTAATCCTTAAGTGTAGATCAAGTTGCATCTTAAAGGACTCCTGAGAAGTCGCTTGACTAGCTCGGCCGGCAGAGAATTCCAGCATTTGAAAACTCTTAAGGAGTAGAAGTTGTGTCTACAGTCCGTTCTGCTGTGTTGTGTTTCCAGTTTCTGGGTGTTACCTCTTAGGTAAGTGTTGGGACTAAGCTTAAGTAGGTGATTTAGAGGATGTTCAGAAGTGTAAGCCATCAGAAGGTCACCTCTAAGACTCATATACTCTAATGGGTAAAGGTTAAGTGATTGGAGGCGCTCTTCATAAGGTTTAAATTTGAGCCATCGAACTGATTTCGTGGCTCGCCATTGGATACGCTCCAGGTTGTCCTTATCCTTTTGGAGTGAGAGAGGAAATACTATTTTTCTGTACTCTAAATGGGGATGGATAAACTATTGAAGATTATATGGAAAGTTTTTGGGGTGATTGAATGAACCAATGATACCTTTGTACTTGTTGAATGCGCGATTTCGAATTCCAGATACAATACATCCGTTTGTGCTTGTGTTGTACTTCTTAATTCAATTGCTTTATTTCTGGGACTCTTAGTTCGTGTTATAATTCAAATAATTCAAAACATTATAGTTCTTCCGTCAAACAGGCCAAGAATGTGCTTCAATGTTACCAGAGCAAGGTTTGCTCGGAAGGTATTTTTGTCACAGTTAGCGTAATACTTTAAATCGTGGGGCACCAGGACTGCTAAAGCTTTTTCGACGTGGGATACTACTAGCGGGGAGTTTCCTAAGTTATAGCTGTAGTTAGCGACATGTCGCAGATGGACTACTTTACACTTTGAAGTGTTAAAGGTAAGTCCGTTATCGTCTGCCCAACTTTGAAGTCAAGTCAGATCCTCCTGAAGTGCCTTTATATCGTCTTGGTTGCGCATCTCTCTCCAATGTTTTACGTCGTCGGCAAAAATTAATAAATCTGACATTATCTGTTGAGGACGATCATTTATATGGATCAAGAGAAGAGGTCCTAGTACTTAGCCCTGTGGGACTTCACTAGGACATTCCATAGCCAGAGATAAAGTGAAATTAACTCTTATCTTAAAATGTCGATTCCTCAGGTATGAAGTGTGCCAATCGATTAGAGGTAGTCTGATACACAAACGTTCGAGCTTATTGATAAGACATGTATGGTTAACCTTATCAAAAGCTTTTGAGAAATCTAGGTAGATGATGTCAACCTTTCCCTTGCGATCTTGGATGCTTGTCCATCTGTCCACCGCTGTCAGAAGGTTGGTAATACTAGAGTAACCCTTCCTGAAACCATGCTGTTGGGGTGAGAAGAAATTTAAGGACATTAAATAGTCATTTATACCATCGCATATCAGGGACTCCATGATTTTTGAGGGTATTGAGAGAAGAGCCGCCAGTTGGTAACTTGAGGGTTCGCTGCGTCGAGCTCCTTTGAAAATTGATGTGATGTGAGCCAGCTTCCGATTCCCCCGTGGCTTTCCTCGGCTTAGGTAGTGTGAGAACATCACGCTAAGCGGCGTTGCCAGGATTGATGTTGCTTCCCTTAGTATGGCAGAATGAACCATATCCGAGCCAAGAGAAGCGTCAGTTCTTAAGTGCTGCAGTTTCCGACACACCTAGTGAGCTCTCAGGTTCACTTCGAAAAGTCTTTGGAGTTGCAGATGAAGCTTTCGTCAGCATAGTTTATGTGGGTCGTGTGAAATGCCTGAGAGTATTGTTCAGCTAGAAGGTTAGCGGCGTCGCCCTCATCGTTGGTCGGGCGGTTAAGACCTAGCAGTTGGGAAACTCCAGTTTTGGCTTGACGAAGAGAGGCTGCATAACGAACAAGCTTTTCGGATTAGAGACAAATTTGTCCTTAAGCTTTGTTTGGTACTGAAACCTGTCATCTCTTATAGACTTCGTGCACTTGTTCCTTATATGTTTGTATAGCCTGTACGCTCCGATGTTGCTAGTTCCTTTGTACTCTGCTCAACAGTGCCTTTTGCGGCTTAGCAGGCGAAGAGTGCGATTCCTGATGATTGTGGGTTGCTGATAGCTATGGGGGACAGTTCGAGGAACTGAATAATTTGTTTTATGAAGTAATCATTGTGCTTTATATCATAGCTAGTGTTGCAGTGCTGTCGATGGCGCAAGTTAATTCTTCGTCAAAACACGCTGCTGCAAATACAGGGCACTGGCCGAGGTAGTAAGTTAGAGTTCCCTAATTTTCTGATTATCCGCATTTTCAAACCTATCTACTAGAAATCCCGTGACTGTATTGCTTTCACTGCCTCCGGTGACCAGTTATAAATTCATACAATCTAGAGTTCTTTATCTTGCCTATATTTACACTAATGTAGCTCTTTATTCATTACACATCCCCATTTTGCAACTTACATAATCTGGTTCAACACGTCCTTCATCTAACTGTATACTTCCTCAAAATGAATACCACTTAATGATATTACTGCCATTTTTGAAACAACCAGTTATTGTAATTCAATCAGTGACGTTTTGAGTTCACAATCAGCAGTCAACTTGCCTAATCAAAAGACTCTTTATGACAGATATTTTTTTTCAATTTTAATATGACTGTGGAAATAGGGACAGGAAGGCTGCTTGATAATTGGGTTCTAATCAACTATGGGTACTGTAACTAGTCGTGATACCTTAGCGAAGGAGAACACAGATGAGAACAACCAACTATAATTAGCTCAAAGTTCCTGAGTTACTTGATAAAATAGAAAAACCACACTCCAGTATTTCGTTTGCGAAATGTTGAATAATTGTCTCGGACTTCACTGTTCCTGCGTTTCCATAGCAATCGCTTACTGTTCTAATTCTTTCCTTCTCAATCTTCTCGACCTTCTGCTGCCAGATATTCTATATCTAACTAGCATCATATACTACTTATGTCGATGTATGTAGCACACACCAAAATACGACTTCTTAATTGCTTCCATTTGTGGAACAGGGCACAAGTGAAACCCACTTGTTTTCTGACGGTCATTTGGCCCACATGTTCAAGTAAATCAATGGAATGCTCAAAGCGATTTACTAAGGCTATTATACGAACCATTTCTATGAAAATAGTTGGATTTCTCCCAGTACCATGAAACCTGGCCTTGTTTACCATCGCAACAGCATTTAATAACAGTTTCAGTAGTCACGAACCGTAAAGGCTTCATTTAAGCATCATGTCACACATATAAGCTACGTCGTTATGAACAAACATTCTGTTGAGTAGCAACCCAAAATACTAGGAGCTATGATGTAGATTTTTCTCTGAATGTGAAAGCAGAAACTGAACGGATTATTTTAATTAGGTGGAAATTTTTAGATACACTCAGATACTGTTTAGAGGAAACGCTGTAATAGTAGAATCCGTAATTTGAAGTTGTATAAACTCCTATTGGACGTTTCTCAAATGAATAATAGTTGAGTAGATAGTCCGGATAAAACAGATGACCAACACCTGTATGTTTGTTTTCGAAACACGTAAAGCTGATATTATTATTCAGCATTCGCACATGTCTACGGGAAAAGAATGTATAAAATAGCAATTAAATGTCTCTAAGCTGCATCAGTTTACGTCGGGTAAACAGTTAGTGAGCGTCAATATCCATTCACAGGAAAAACCGTATTCGGGAGTTGCTTAGCGCCCAGACGTAATAACCCAGTTAAAAGTTTAACAATGCTTACAAATGAGGTTCATCAAAATTGTCTGATGTTTGTTTGATGTTTCGCTAGACACAAAAGAGAGAGGTTTAAAAAGCTCGAAGATTGAGAGAAAAAGCACGTAACTGCCAGTGATTATGCTAAAAAGAGAATCCTTCCAGCATCACGAAAGTATGTACTTTTAAAACATTTCAAAACATCCTATACATACTGACAAACTCTGAAATTTGCTTATTCTTCATGCTTTCTGTACATACAAAACTATTTGGCCCATTATACAAATTTTCCAAAGGTCACGGTGCCAAATTTGTTTTAGGTTCTCCAGTCAAGGTCGAGTGAGTTCTTCGTTACTAGTCTTTGCTACCTAATTTCACTGTTTTTAAAAAAATGAATTTAAGACATTTCCTATTTGCATGCGTCTTATCAAATACTTTGGAAGCGGTTAGTCTGTATATTCATGACTCGTACTTCAATTCCATCTCTACAGCTAGCATTATTTGTTTTATAAGGCAACTAACATATATGGAAGTATAAATATTTCCTCAAGTTTCTTGTGTCTTTTAATTGAACTAAAACATGGTCTAGTTTAACCTGTTCAAAGACTAGAAACGAGATTGTTTTCGTTTTGATTTTTGGTCAACGGAAAAACGGGATTTAGATAAAGCCTATATATATATTAGGTGCAGTATATACTGCATGTCATTAGGTTCATCAATTTTTTGAGCGTATGGACTTGTGTGTACAATCTATCACCTATACTAAATAGAAGTTGCAACGTCTTCCAGTCCACTTCTTATCATGTTTTATTACGATTTTCGTCTAAAAACTGACATCTCAAGTCAGCGTATTCCGCGGTCCTTGTATTCTTTATCATTACCAGGTTCGTATTCGGTAATGTACGTCAGTGATGAAGTAAACGCTGAGTTTTCGTTATACGAATGCTAAGGCTTTCACCATAGATGGGGGGTCAGCCACGTAATTTTCGAAGAACCCCGGAATTCCTTCGCTAAATATCTTGTTAACTTCTCTTCTGACTGTTTAGGGATTCATGATGGAAAGTTTCATCCTATACTACTCAAACGAGACCTGTTTTTTATAAGCTGCTGTGAATGGAAACATTGTAAAATTAGTTTTTCATAACTTCAGGTTATCCGCTCTAAAAACCTACACTCCGGGTCAATATCTGAGGGCTGACTTCTGTCGTTGCACTACCATTTTGAATTCCGACTTTATATATTGACTACACTCACCTCTCTTCCAATATAGACTAACATAAAGATCTTAATTAGCATAAGCTTAAATGGAACCCGGGACTGTAGAATAACTAAATTAAATATCACTTCAAAAACTGTGAACTTTTTAAAGAAGAAGCGCTCTGACTAATATTGAGTTTTAACTAGTTATAAGCTGTCTCAAACAAAATGATTTAAGAACTAACAAGGTATTTATGTATGTTGTGACTGAGTTGATGAACTATTTGTGTGATAACCCTAGGTAATAGAAACATGGATATTTGCATAGTCGTTGATACTCACTATTTATCTCCAGAAATCAACTATAGTTAGAAACCCGGATCATGTGTGTCGGTTCATGTTGCCACCCTTCACATTTCCATTGCCTAGAAGTGGATTAAGGCCTACGATATTGTGGTCGATTCTGAGCCATGTCACCTAGTCTCCAACCATTGGTTACGATAGTCACGCGGACCTCAACCAAGTAGTCTGCATCTAAAAACATGGCTCAAACTAGAAGTTAGTGACTTCAAACACTGATGCCATGTTTTGGTTTGGCCGCCCCTAACTTTCTTCCAACCATCCCGAACACCGGTTAGCATTGCACGTCGTGGTAACCGGTGTTCGGGTATACGTAACACGTGGCCCGACCATCTCAGTCGATGAAGATTCACAACCTCATCGACTGATTTACCATCATATCCTAATACCCTGTGTCTAACCTCACTATTACTTACCTGGTGATCCCAGCAGACGCCAGCAATATTTCTGAGGTATCTGTGGTCAAATACTAGTAGCTTACGAGTGTCTTCTACTCTTAATGGCCATGTTTCTCAGCCGTCAAGTAGAACAGAACGGACTGCCGCGCAGTATACTCGTCCTTTTATTGATAGACGGATATCTCGCCTTTGCCATAGGTGACGTAAGTTGGCAAAAGCCAAACGAGAACCGTGCAGAAAATGTCGTCAGACACCAACCCAGACTTCCAAGGTAAGTGAAGTTGTCAACGCGTCCGACTACTTTACTTGCCATCAGTCTCCGTTGAGGAGGCTCGATAGAAGATTGTCGCTCATTCTGGAGTACCTGCTTGGATTCCGACCATACCCCAATACGGGCACGCATCTCCTTGCGCCTCACTGGACGCAAAAAAGCCTCAGTAAAAAGAACAATTAGAACTGATTTGAGTAGCGAGAAAACCAAAAGTAGGTTCCAGGAACAACTGAGGTTACACTTAAATAGTTCTGGAAACGAGGCTGACCCAGATGTTGCTTGGAAAGCTATACAAACAGCCTTGGAAACAGCAGTGACATCTATTAGTGATTTAAACCACAGGGTCACAAAGAACCAATGGATTTCCTCAAGGTCTATTGCACTGATGGATTCTCGTAAACTCATCCCATCAGGCTCTGAACACAATGAAGAGCGACAACAAATCAGATCTAGGTTAAGCAAAAGTCTAAGAAACGACCGTGAGCAGTGGTGGGCAACGAAAGCAAAAGGAGTAGAAAAGCCGGCGGCTGTAGGTAACACAAGACAGCTCTACAGACTAATAAAAGAAACTGGAATTAATAAGTCAAGTGCAAGTGAGACGATTTTGGAAAAGACGACACTACTATCTGCCTCGAACCTGGTATGGCCGTGAGTGGGATGGGTCCGCCCTCTTTCTCGAAATGCTCTGACACGGCCACGCGCATACAGCCTCTGCCAGGGAAGTCCTACTCACTGCCTTCTCATGGCGGGGGTGTTGTTTACAAAAATGAGAGGACGAAAAGCGAGTGTCCGGCGCTTAAACCGGATCCCAATTCAATGGTGCACATGGGCTCTAGTATCCTGAGGGAACAAATGGCGTATGAACCAATTGTTGGTCAGTGGCCCCCTAAGAAAACCACCTGGTTCAGTTTGGGCACCCGGAAAGTATCACAGACCACACACAAACTTGATGAAATGTCTATATTTTTGGGAAATACTTGTCTTGCTTCGATTAACAATCAGACAATTCACCTTATTATCATTATTAATATAATTGTTATTATTTTTTACGTCATTTATTCACTCTCTTTAATTCCCACTCTGTGTGTCCTTATTTTTCGACTTATACAGCAGCTCGCTTATGGTGGAAACGCGGTTCTATCTAAACGTTCTCGGGTCACTGCCTGGTGGAAAATTGTATGCTACCACCGAATACGAGGACTGAAGCAGTTTTCCTGAAACCACGTGCACCATTCAAACTGGCTACTTTCAACGTTCGCACACTTATGCAGGTCGGACAACCGATAGGGCTGGCTATGTCTTTGGAAAGTCTTAATATCGACGTTCGTTGTCTATCCGAGACCCGTATTCAAGACTCTGGTGAAGTACTACAAATTCGCTCTCCATCTGTCGCTTCAAAAAGCCTGTTTTATGTGCGCTTATCCGTGGACCCTGTGGTATCTTCATCTGGTCTTGCTGACGTTGGTGTCGCACTAAGCACTAGAGCTGAGGCAACACTAATCGATTGGATCCCCATTAACAGTCGGTTATGTGCTGTTAGATTAGAAAGTTCCACCAAAGTGAGAAGAAATCGACGTGAAAAACGATGTGTTTTCGTCATCTCCGCCTATGTCCTGACAGATTGCAGCCCGGATGCAATCAAGGATAAATTCTACTGACAGTTAACTGTTCTGCAGAAAGTGCGTTCGACAGATATTGTAGTACTAGCCAGAGACTTGAATGCTCAGATCGGGCGTCTAGGCACAGAAGAGAGTCGTTTAGGTGGCCGATGGGGACTTGTTGGTCGCAGGACAGATAACGGTGACCGTCTACTGCAACTATGCACAGACCACAACCTGTTTCTGGCTAGCACTAACTTTCGGCACAGTCATCGCCGATGTGCCACCTGGCGTCCTCCCTCTGCATCTCAAGCCTGGACTCAGATTGACCACATCGCGGTCAGCTACCGCTGGCGTGGTTGTGTACAAGACTGCTGCTCCTTCTGGAGTACCTATCTGGACTTGGATCATGCCCTGGTCTGCGCTAATCTCACCTTACTTTTCAGTGGCCAACGAAGTGATCGCCGCCAACGGATTGATGTTAGCAAGCTGGTTGCAACTTCTGTTGCTAGTAAGTATCGAATCGAGCTAGCTACCATTCTACCGAAAAGTATAGATGAGCATCGGTTGCAACTTCAAGATGCCATGAAAATGTCGAGCAAAGCCGCTTGCAGCTTCGCGAAACGTCCCGCTTATAAGCACTGGGTTTCTTCTAGTTCCTTACAATTCATCGATGCCCGTCAGTGTACTCCGGCTGACCGTGAGTTTGACCACAAACGAAGGATGTTACGTAATGAAATCGGGCAAAGCTTGCGTAAGGACGGAGAAGCCTGGTGGTCGGAGCGTGATAATGAGCTGGAAGCAGCAGCTGCATCTGATAACTACCGAAAGCTCTCCCAACTCATCCGAGCCGCTGGCAGCAAGAAGTCTGGCTAAGGAACTGACTGCGTTGTTTATAGATGCCTTGGAACTAGAGAGTGTTCCAACATCATGGAATGAGTCGATAGTTGTCTCTGTCTTTAAGAGGTTCACGTCGTTCCTGTAACAACTATCGTGGGAAAAATCTACTTCCGATTGCGTCCAAGCTATTGGCTTCCGTCATACTTCATAGGTTGTTCAAAACCGGAGAAAGATTGACTCGCGAGTAGCAGGCTGGGTTTCGTTCCGGTCGAGGATGAATTGATCATATCTTCACCCTCCGCCAAATGTTAGAACACCGTCATTCTTATCAAAGGCCAACAATCGTAGTGTTTCTTGACATCAGGGCTGCCTTCGATTCGTTGGACAGGACTGTTCTCTGGGATCGTCTATTGAAGATGAGTGTGCCTGAGAATTTCATTAACATCCTAAATGCCCTATATACAAACACCTCAGGTAGAGTGAGGGCATACAACCACCTCTCTCCATTGTTCCATTCGAGCAATGGGGTTAGACAGGGTTGCCCAACCTCACCATTCCTCTTCAACTTTGCCATCGATGACATTCTGGAAACAGCTCTGATGGATGTAAGTAATGGTGGTGTGGATCTGTTGCCTGGAGAAAGACTTCTCGACCTTGAGTATGCGTATGATATTGTCTTACTGTGTGATAATGCCCAAGGCATGCAATCCGCGCTTAACCAGTTGGCAATCAGTGTCCGTAGGTACTGTATGTTCTTTACACCTTCGAAGTGCAAAGTACTTCTACAAGACTGGCAGGATTCTAATCCTTTACTCACCCTGGATGGTGAGCAGATAGAAGTAGTCAAGAAGTTCGTGTATCTAGGTAGCTGCATAAATGCTGGTGGTGGCGTTAGTGATGAGATCAATGCACGTATAGTGAAAGCCAGAGCGGCTTATGCCAATCTGGGCCATCTTTGGCGCCTTCGTAATGTTAGTCTGGCTGTAAAAGGTCGAATCTACAAGGCGTCGATGAGAGCAGTTTTGCTCTGTGCTTGTGAAACCTGGCCTCTCCGAGTTGAGGATGTTAGACGACTTTCTGTGTTCGATCATCGCTGTCTCCGAAGGATTGCTGACATCCAGTGGCAACACCATGTTGGTAATGCAGAGGTTCGGCATCGTGTGTTCGGGCAGAGACGATAATGCAATTGGTGTCACCATCTTGAAACACCGACTTCAGTGGCTTGGACATGTTCTACGAATATCGTCCCAGACAATTCGTGCATTATTTGCCGACTCTGGAACTTGTTGGAAAAAGCGGAGATGTGGTCAGTGTATGACATAGTGTCGTGGTATGAAGGAATGTTGCAAAGGGCTGGTTTCTGTTGGTCCTTCTCGACTCCCTGGCTGGGGTCCGATAGATGGTGCATCACAGTGGCTAGAGACGTAATCAGATATGGCTCATAATAGAAGCCAATGGCGATCCTGCTGTAACCTTCTTTTACTTCATAAAAAGTGGTTGTATCTTTAACTGGAAAATTTCTGATTGTAACTTTCCGTTTCCCCCATTATTACTATTATTACTATTATTTTTGTTATTATTAAACTACCTTAAACTAATCTGTTCGTTATTGTTCTATTTTTTACGCTCCTTACCTTCTTTTGTTCTTCTCTTCGAATTCTCATTGTTTTGTGTGGCGCATATATCTTTGGTGCCCTCTTGTACCAATGTTTTTGTTGTTTGGAATGCGCTTCTCTCCCTCTGAATGCAAGTTGTTGCTTCAGGACTGGTCTGTGTCAACACCTGAACTAAGGATAGGGAGTGAAGTAGTCGAACGCGTTGACAACTTCACTTACCTTGGAAGTCTGGGTTGGTGTCTGACGACATTTTCTGCACGGTTCTCGTTTGGCTTTTGCCAACTTACGTCACCTATGGCAAAGGCGAGATATCCGTCTATCAATAAAAGGACGAGTATACTGCGCGGCAGTCCGTTCTGTTCTACTTGACGGCTGAGAAACATGGCCATTAAGAGTAGAAGACACTCGTAAGCTTACAGTATTTGATCACGTTTAATCCTTACTAGCAGGTCTTGAAAAAGGTACTCCAAGATACTACTAGCACTCAAGCTTTTATGGAAGTTAATGATCTGTCATTTTTGACGAACTAGGCCGAATAAAATTAATGTATTTCTTAAAACTTTCATAACAGTTGTAGCATATTGAAATCATCATCACAATTATACTCAGACATACATGAAAAGTAATTTTACTTTTCATTTTATCAACCTCTGCTTCTGCGACTGCATGTTCTCTGTATAATTGTTGACTCGATCATTTTCGAGCTTTTGACGTTTTATCAAGATTACTGCTAAAAATTCTCAGAAGTTTGCATTATTTTCCTTGGTATAACATGTTAGAACGTTCAGTCATACTGAGTCGAGTAGCCAGTTATGCCTGCGGGACACAAAAATTAGTCATCAGTATTTTAGCAAGTTAAAACAACCAGATGAGTATGTAATCGTTTTCATCATCCTCACAGTTAGGTCGGTCAGCTCAGTCATTTGATGGTGTGGGAATACACCCGTTAAACTGTTTACTCAACAAATATTTCCAAGATTCTAGGAAACCCGTTAGACTTATAGAAACCACCTATTACCCTTAAGCACTAATGTTTCTACTCATTGATATTTAGTGTATTTTTCCTAATGAGTATATCAATCCTAATATATGTGTCTGGTTTATAGTACAATTGTCCAAGGTTTCCATCAAAATCTAGATCTACGAACTACGGTTACAGAAATTTAAGACGAAAATTTCCCAATTATAAGAACGAATTCAGTCGCAAATAACCCTGAATGCTTTCTAGAGTCGGGTAGGACCACCCAGTGAACTTCATGATTTTTATTGTAAAATGATTGCATCAGTCATCAACTACGTAGAACTTCATACGTACGTACATCAGTTCAAGTTGCCATACCACATTAGCACAGAGATACAATTGTCGATTCAAATCCCATAGTGGTAGATGTAGTAAATTATAAGCAGTAATCAGAAAGGTTAGGGTTTGAAGATGATATTCAAAGGGTGTAATCCAGTGAAATAAATTAGGAAGCAGAAAAAGGGACATGAAGAATTCAGGAGATTAGAATTTGGGCGAACACAAAGAGTGGAAAAATGATTGCATAGAATACTGATCAGCTGCCAAAGTGGATCAATAAAATGTATCTGATTGATGACTGCTTTCAATCCCAAATTATTGATCCAAACTGCCAAATGAACTGACATCAGAAGACAAGGCAGCTACATAAAAATAGGCTTATTATTTAACATAGTAACATGCTTACATACAAATTACTAGCAAAAAAATAAATATTATTTAATATCACAAACAGTTGCAGAATATAAAAACTTTTATTCGTTCAATAAATTAAGACTTAACCGTCAGTCAGTGTTGACATAATTTGTGAATTTCTAGGTAAATGTGATAAGTCAGTTAATGAGGTTCATTATTTTTATTGGCTGAGATGGTTGATATATATCACGTCTATTTATCAAATACCTACCTTGTTGTATTATGCTGGTTAGTAACTTTAGTGCACCAGACATAAATGCGATATCAGTACATGAAATTACTAGCACTTCAATATCCCGCCACAAACGTGAAACCTGTGCTAATAGTGACATGGCTCGGAATTGCTTGTACTAGCACAGATTCATTTACTTTTTACAATCTTATACACTGAATACTGTGATACTTTAGTTTTTGATTCCCAATATATCTGTTTATTTTGAAATTTCTCTTTTTTATTTCTCACTACTTTTATCTCCGTCGTGTTCACTCCTATGCTTTCCCCTTGTTTGTTTCCTATCAGTATCCTGAAATATAGCAACACGGACCAATGCATATTCCAACAAAGTCTCACGCCGTTTATCTCCGACTCCCGTAGACAAATTTTCTCCAGAAATTTAGGACGTACTTCGTATGGCCTAATGGCATTATTATTTTAAGCGTGGAAATGATTTTTCACGATACCCATGAAATGATATTACTTTCATCCTCACCCATAGTAAATAACAATTTAACACGAACTTGGTTCTCTACTCTGCCATATTGTTGTTGAATAAGAGTATATACCTTGGGTGTGTTTTTTGCTAGATTATACAATAGAGATATACCATGTGTTATATAATCATTGGTCAACTGTTTTTCAAGTCAGTTCTATTGCTTTATTGTCTATGATGAGATCCATACTCGTTTACATGCTTTTATTATGAATTTACCTCATAGAAACATGAACTCTTTCGATAATCCTGGGGAAGGTGATCAAAACAATCCTCGACAGGCTGAAATCGAGCAGAAAAAACTCGATATTGCATGTTACAAACATAGCTTGGAGCTAAACCGTATTGCCCTTAGCAAGACCATTTGGGATATACGTAATTATTGTTTCACTAACGCTCAAAATGACCCCTTGCTCTGTCCCCCAAGAGACAATCCATATAAATCCCAACGATCATGTACAGTTATTTAGGTTTTTTACAGTTGCTTTCTTTTTATATATTTGCTTCCTTGATTATAACCTACTTAAAATGCTTTTAATTATTTCACGCTATGGAAATAGTGATTTCACTAACTTATTTGCGAACATCTGATTGGTACTGATATTGTTGTTGAAGCCAATGTCTATGGAAAAATGTCAAAATATAACAATATTGCATAAGTTTTGTTTCTCAACCCAAATGTTGTGTGATCTATCAGTCAGTCAGCTACAACGTAGGACCAGGCACATATATGCATCGGTCCAAGTGGTCATACCTCATTAGTACAGCAACATGAACACTGGACTCATAGAAGTAGTTAATTCAGTGGTGGTAATATATAAAAGAAAGATTGCATATAAGGATATAGTACCGTAATAAAGAATTAGTTCGTAGAAAGAAAGGTATAAAGCGAATTTAATCTCTTAGTTTAAGAGAAGATAGAGAGTGTATACACCTACGATATTGTGACCGATTCTGAGCCATGTCACCTAGTCTCCAACCATTGGTTACGATAGTCACGCGGACCTCAACCAAGTAGTCTGCATCTAAAAACATGGCTCAAACTAGAAGTTAGTGACTTCAAACACCGATGCCATGTTTTGGTTTGGCCGCCCCTAACTTTCTTCCAACCATCCCGAACACCGGTTAGCATTGCACGTCGTGGTAACCGGTGTTCGGGTATACGTAACACGTGGCCCGACCATCTCAGTCGATGAAGATTCACAACATCATCGACTGATTTACCATCATATCCTAATACCCTGTGTCTAACCTCACTATTACTTACCTGGTGATCCCAGCAGGCGCCAGCAATATTTCTGAGGTATCTGTGGTCAAATACTAGTAGCTTACGAGTGTCTTCTACTCTTAATGGCCATGTTTCTCAGCTGTCAAGTAGAACAGAACGGACTGCCGCGCAGTATACTCGTCCTTTTATTGATAGACGGATATCTCGCCTTTGCCATAGGTGACGTAAGTTGGCAAAAGCCAAACGAGAACCGTGCAGAAAATGTCGTCAGACACCAACCCAGACTTCCAAGGTAAGTGAAGTTGTCAACGCGTTCGACTACTTCACTCCCTATCCTTAGTTCAGGTGTTGACACAGACCAGTCCTGAAGCAACAACTTGCATTCAGAGGGAGAGAAGCGCATTCCAAACATTCTGGTATTGTTGCTCAGTGCTATCAAAAGACTGCATTTTATCAGCGTCTTCACCAAACAGGACTATGTCATCTGCGTATTCTAAGTCGATAAGTGCACATTCTGGAAGGGGATCAATACCCGAGAATTCAGTAGACGAGAATATTATCTCCATCAATAGGTCTATGATGAAGTTAAACAAAAATGGAGAAAGTGGTCAGCCTTGACGGACACCACTTGAGGTTGTAAAAGCAGATGACAGTTCGCCATAAGCTCTGACTCGACTGGTAGTGTTCGAGTAAAGAGCCTTCATAAGGTTTATGTACTTCTGAGGTACGCCTTTCAATGACAGACACTGCCACAGAATCTCGTGGTCTACCGAGTCAAATGCTGCTTTTAAGTCAAGAAAGACCATCATTGTCGGACGCCAATAAGTATGCCTATGTTCTAGAACCTGACGAATGGTGAATATGTGGCTGATGCAGCCACGATCAGGTCTGAAGCCAGCTTGATTCTCTCGTTTTTGCAGTTCACAAGTCTTAGTTAAGCGTCTGATAATTATCGAGGCTAGTATTTTAGATACTATATTAGTTAAACTAATCCCTCTATGGTTGTCACAGGATGATTTTAACCCTCTCTTATATATTGGGACGATCAGTGATTGTGACCAGTCAGATGGAATAACGTCTAACTCCCAGATCTAAGCTAACATATTAGCCAACCTAATCGCTAAAATTGGACCACCATCCTTAAAGACCTCTGGAGCCAATCAATCTGGACCAGCTGCCCTTCCTCGTTTCAGATTATCTATAGTTTTCTGAACTTCAGCTAGCGTCGAGGGACCTACTTCAATGTTCTATTCACACTGTATGGGAATGGTGGGTAGTTGTAGGGTAGCTGAAGGCCAGCTGAAATGTTCCGCCCATCGTTCTAAACGTCTGGACTGAGAGCAGATGTGGGTGTCGTCTTTTCCAAAATCGTCTCACTTGCACTTGACTTATTAATTCCAGTTTCTTTTATCAGTCTGTAGAGCTGTCTTGTGTTACCTACAGCCGCCGGCTTTTCTACTCCTTTTGCTTTCGTTGCCCACCACTGCTCACGGTCGTTTCTTAGACTTTTGCTTAACCTAGATCTGATTTGTTGTCGCTCTTCATTGTGTTCAGAGCCTGATGGGATGAGTTTACGAGAATCCATCAGTGCAATAGACCTTGAGGAAATCCATTGGTTCTTTGTGACCCTGTGGTTTAAATCACTAATAGATGTCACTGCTGTTTCCAGGGCTGTTTGTATAGCTTTCCAAGCAACATCTGGGTCAGCCTCGTTTCCAGAAATATTTAAGTGTGACCTCAGTTGTTCCTGGAACCTACTTTCGGTTTTCTTGCTACTCAAATCAGTTCTAATTGTTCTTTTTACTGAGGCTTTTTTGCGTCCAGTGAGGCGCAAGCAGATGCGTGCCCGTATTGGGGTATGGTTGGAATCCAAGCAGGTACTCCAGAATGAGCGACAATCTTCTACCGACCCTCTCCAACGATGACTGATGGCAATATGGTCTTTTTGAGTCCATCGTTGGTTTGGTGCAGGCGCTCGCCATGTTAGATGATATCTCTCCTTATGCTTAAAATTGGTGTTTGCTAAAAATAAACGATTGTCTGAGCACAGTTGCAGCAGACGATCACCACTATCTGTTCGCTGAGCCGGAATACCAAAATACACACCTAAATGCCTTTCTATTTAGTTAAAACTACCTCTCTGGTCATTAAAGTCACCTGCTACGAGTACTATGTCTGAACGTTTAGATATATGAAGAATTTCGGACAGCTTTCTGTAAAATTCATCTTTCACTTCATCTGAGCTGCAGTCAGTGGGAGCGTAGGCAGAAACGACGAAAAGGCAACGACGTGTGTCCCTATCCTTCCGAGTTCTTACGGAGCCGTTTAGCCGAACAGCACATAAACGACTGTTAACGGGGATCTACTCTAACAGTGCTTGTTCCGCCCTCATGCATAGTACTATGCCTACTCCTGCTAGTCCACGAGAGCTGGTCGTCGGGTCACCAGATACACGGAGGGTGTATCTCGTTGGCTCTCCGTTTTGCCGAGGTGAGGTCAAGTGGATGACCATACTGGGATCCTGTATGCGTGTTTCGGAGACACAGCATACATCAACGGTACGAGATTCTAGAGTTCTAGCCAAGGAAGCCTGTTGACCGATTTGACATGGGGTGCGTACGTTGAAGGCTCCAATGTGTAGTTTGGAGCGAGGTTTCAGTAGACCTGAGACAGTGTTTTGAGCACTAGAATCGTTGGCTACGGTAACATTTGAGGAGGAAGTCGAAGAAGGAAGTTTAGAGTTGAAAGTCGATGGAGGAGGAATAATAGAAAGTGAAGAGGGAGGTTGATTATGAATACAGTGGTCTTGAGTGCTGTTAGAGGTATGAGAAGGTTATCACTTCCCGGCTGCCCACACCGTGGAAGGGTTGTTCTGGAGGTACCTGAAAAGGAACTTGGATTAGAGGTGGACTTAGTGACCTGGGAGCGTGACCGCAGTGCCCAAGGGACAACTGCTTGAGGTCGGTCACACACGACCTTTTTATGGGTAATTTTTGTGTCAGCTCCGTACTTTTTGGGACCTTACCGCCGGAGACGGATATCCGTGGGATAAGGCGAGGTGTGCATTTTTAGGGTCGACCTTTTCTAACCCCACCCCTCGTGGGGGGTGACAGCATCGCTGTCATGCTGGTTGTCTGAAGGAAACACCTTACTGCTGTCACACCTCTGTACATTCAGCAGTACGGCTTCGCCTTCGGACCTTGGGTTTGTTGCTTTTAGTTTTACCGCTCTTCAACTGACCTGTCTGACATGGTAGGACTTGAGGAACAGTTTTTCCAGCCAGTATAGCTCGGTTGCTTCATCACAATAGGCATGCCCGACCACCACGTCAAGGTAGCAACAACGGTCGGGTGTGTGAACTATCGATAGCTGTTTAGTAGCATTTTTCTGGAAATATTGAAACTGTACGTGACAAACGAATATAGTCAATTCGTGTAATTGTAGCCAAAAGTTACAACATATATTATCTCGAAATATACGACAAATACTGAACTACTTTTCAGTTAGAAACTGACATCTCGATACATACTGAGAGCACTAAAATATTGTCTTTGATACGCTTGTTTTGCATAGCACATCTCTATACTCTAAACAAGATGACTAATTGCAGTCTGATATATTTAGAATTATAGTTGAATCTAAATTATTATTATCCAGAAATCACTACAAAACCTGTGGAGAAGACAAATACGGTATTATTATTCATTCGTTTGTATCAAAAACTAGGAAGTCTTTTTTCAATGTCACCTGATCGATCACACAGGTTATAGACTAACTTTTAATACACGTAACTTTTGTTTGTAACTATCAAGGTAACAACAATAAAACTACTAGAATTTTGCCATTACAAGATATGTCAAAGAAACGATCTGTATGGAGTATCTTTCGTTTACCTTTTCTGTAAATGTACCAGCAGTATTTTGGTTCCACTGGGATCCTAACAACATATAGATGGGTTCCTAGTCGGATAGGATGTCCCAAATCAATGAATTAGATGCAGTTCTCTTGTAATGTAAAAATGAACAATATCTAGGTGACCGGTGTTGTTCATAACAAATAGTCAATTAAATTTCTGATTCACATAGCGGAATTCAGACGTTTCGATTTAACTTTAATATTATTTACATTAGATTTTTAAAAAAATGGTTATGATGAAGAAAGTTAATTCGAGTTTTTATCAGAAGTTATTGCTTCTGCTAACAAGTCACAAGCGCCCTTGTGCTTTAACCAGTGCTTTACTTG